CGTCCAGGACCTCCCCCGTTAACCAGGACTACTGATAAATGATGGAGAGCGGCTTGGCGAGCACCTCCGCCAGCTCCCTCAGCACTCTCGGGTGGATCCCATCCGGCCCCATAGACTTGTGAGCGTCCAGGTGGCGTAGCAGGTCGTTGTAAAAAAAGTAAAAGTAAAAAGTAAAAGTAAAAGTGAGTGTTTCTCACTTTAGGTGGCTAAATGCTTGTATAGCAGAACTTTTTCTAAAAAACATTTCCCCTTTCCCTTCCCTATTCACATGTATCTGTCTAGGATTCCACACCCCCCCCATCTTTTATTGTTTTCAATAAAACAATATTTCAGCTATTTCAACTGGCCTGGGGCATAAGACATTTTTTTAAAAAGTCTGAAATTATTGTCAATCAAGCTAAAAGCTACTTTCATTTTTAAGTTAGGAGATTTTTGGATTGTGTGTTGTTTGTCTGTGCAGATGTAATTGTGCTTGAAATAGTCACCATTTAATTTGCCCCATCTTAAAAATGCATCCACAGAGACTAGAATAAAACTTAAACAAAACTGATTAAAAGGCTTTGATAAGTAACCCTGAGGGTTACCTGCAGAGCAGGTATAATGTAAGCAATATTATTTCCACCTCCCTGGTAGGGAAAATCCTCATACTATGCACTTAGCTCTGGCAAATGGTTGGTGCTTAATATTTTTACTTAAAATTGTCTTAAAAATGCATCCACAGAGACTAGAATAAAACTTAAACAAAACTGATTAAAAGGCTTTGATAAGTAACCCTGAGGGTTACCTGCAGAGCAGGTATAATGTAAGCAATATTATTTCCACCTCCCTGGTAGGGAAAATCCTCATACTATGCACTTAGCTCTGGCAAATGGTTGGTGCTTAATATTTTTACTTAAAATTGTTTACATAATTAATTCTTTTAAAGAGTCTTGATCGATTAAATTGTTTACATAATTAATTCTTTTAAAGAGTCTTGATAAGGAGCATTTTTTTGTATCCACATTGAAGTGATCTTAGTACACTAATAATGGTATCGGTTATCCTGCTTGGACACAACAAATACAATTAAGTTACATTTCTACCTGAGCTACTGAGTCTCATGGTCTGTGGTTAGCTCCTCTTTAGTCATGAAAGACGAATCTGGTATAAAGCTCCCACATTTTGCATCTATTTTCTTTATTAGAGGGGTGTTTCCTAAGCAATCAAGGAGGTTTTAGTATTGGTAGGAACTCGGGTATATGTCCTGAAGTGGAAGATTTCAGCATGATTGATTACCTCCTTCCCCTACTTCTTTTGAGAGTTCAGTAACTAAGAAATTGGTCATCCTGTTCTTTAGATGGTTGGTGATAAATACCAACTAGTTTTTATTCTGTTCTGTGTGAGAATGTTGATGCATAAATAAGTTATGTTGGAGTTGTCAGTGTAACAAAACCAGGAGATTTTTATGTTGAGGTGCTGTCACCTTTTAAATTCACTTTTTGAGTATTTAGAGCACCCAGTGGTTTACGGTGATGTTAACATCCCAACCCCATAAATCCTCAAACCTCATAAGGTTTCAGTAACACCAGCTGGATTGAGCCTAGACTCATTCAGCCACTGCAGCTTCAATTCCTTGTCATTTATTCTTTCGTTTTCATGTGTTAATGTTCTAGCAAATAAAGAATATTCTATTTCTTCTTCTTCTCTGCTGTTTGGATTAATTTTGTTTTTATCTTCTTGGGGTTTTTGCTGAATAAGTACTTTTTTGAGAAAAGCTGAAACACATAGTTTCTAGAAATAAAATTTCCAGCTATAGGTACCAACTGCTAAATGTCACAAGCCACAAGACATGCAGTCCTTCTGTATAAAATTATTTCATGTTTACAGTGGTGCTTATTAGCCTTTGTGCTGGTTTTGACTGGAATAGAGTTAATTTTCTTCATAGTAGCTAGTACAGGGCTGTGTTTTGGACTTGTGCTAGAAACAGTGTTGATAACACAGGGATGCTTTCGTTACTGCTGAGCAGTGCTTACACAGAGTCAAGGCCTTTT